AAAAAAAAAAAAAAAAAAAAAAAAAACTTCCAAAGAGTAAAAATGGCATGTACCAGCCTAGAAAACAAATCAGGCTCCATATTTTATGCTGCTTACTTTAGTTTTTAACATGCTGAATTATTACCAAATATTCTCAAATATTTAACATTTTCTTTTTTTTTTTTATTTTTTTTCAACGTTTATTTATTTTTGGGACAGAGAGAGACAGAGCATGAACAGGGGAGGGGCAGAGAGAGAGAGAGGGAGACACACAATCGGAAACAGGCTCCAGGCTCCGAGCCATCAGCCCAGAGCCCTACGCAGGGCTCGAACTCCCGGACCGCGAGATCGTGACCTGGCTAAAGTCGGACGCTTAACCGACTGTGCCACCCAGGCGCCCCAACATTTTCAAATTACCAAAAATGTTTATTCATTTGGCTAAAAACTGAGAGGTACAGGGGCTCCTGAGCAGACTCTTAATTTCTCAGGTCATGATCTCAGTTTCATGAGATCTAGTCCCACATCATGCTCTGTGCTGACAGTGCATGGAGACTGCTTCTGATTCTCTCTCTCTCCCTCTCTCTCTCTCTGCCCTTCCCTGCTCACGCTTGCTCTCTTTCAAAATAAATAAATAAACTTAAAACATTTAATTGAGAGGTATATTTTCGATGTTAGATTCATTAGAAAACTATGATTTTATGAAAAAATATTTGCCTTTATTCTAATGGCACAATATCAATTTTTCGACTTATCTGCACTAACACATAGACCTAAGTCCTTAAAATATGACCAAGAGAAAAACATGCCAGAATATAATGCCATATTCCCTTCCTATTTTTGTTCCCAATTTCCCTGATTGGCAAGATGCCAAAATGCTGCAGTGACAGCATGCTGGCAGTATCAAGAACAATTGACTGGTTTTGGACACTACTCTACTAACCCTTCAACTAAGGAAAATTACTGTTTCCCTGTCCAGTCTTTATTTTATTTTATTTTATTTTATTTTATTTTATTTTATTTTATTTTTCAACGTTTATTTATTTTTGGGACAGAGAGAGACAGAGCATGAACGGGGAAGGGGCAGAGAGAGAGGGAGACACAGAATCGGAAACAGGCTCCAGGCTCTGAGCCATCAGCCCAGAGCCTGACGCGGGGCTCGAACTCACGGACCGCGAGATCGTGACCTGGCTGAAGTCGGACGCTTAACCGACTGCGCCACCCAGGCGCCCCTCCAGTCTTTATTTTAAAGGCAAAAGCAACAAAGAGTTAATGCGAGTTAATAAGCACCATGGAAGATCCACCCAGGGTAAGGAATCAGGTGTTTTCTCAGATAAACCATGAAACTCCTATAAATGCTCCATTGTCACTTTTCAAATTGTTTACTTTTGTCTTGCTTCATAATCAGATAACTTTTCTACAGATATTGTCACTAATTAACTGTAATTTATTAAACAAAATTCTAGAAGATAAAAATTTAATTCAAATAAATAAATCACTATGGCAATCTTTTTAGACTAAAAATGTGAAATAATCCAAGAACTCTCTCTTGTTGGGTTAGATCAAACAAAAACTTCTGTAAGAAATAAGCCAATGAATAAAAAATTTTTTGAAAAAAAAATAAGCCAATGAAAATAAATAGCTAAGGTATCTCAAAACAGTTTGTATAATAACAATAAAGTACATTTTCAAATTCATCTCTGTGTTCTTGCCACATATTGGTTGTTTTACAAAATGATAAAGTAGAAAAAAATAATCACCTTAAATGTAACAGAGTTGAATAAAGAGCAAAAGATATTGCCTGTGAAAAGATCTTCTGATCAGATTTTCACTTATGATGTACAGTAACTGCCTTACATTATTACTGTTTTAGGTGATCAGGAATAGGACTGGCAACTCACAAAATCATAACATCTTTACTGACTTTAACTGCTTTCCATTGTCTAGAGACAGAGCACTTCAACAATCCACACATATAGATGCCTAATATACTTATTCTACTTAAAAAACAAATTGGAGTGTCTGGGTGGCTCAGTTGGTTAAGCATCCTACTCTTGATTTCAGCTCAGGTCATGATTTCACAGTTCATGAGATTGAGCCTGCATCAGGCTCAGTGCTGACAGTGTGGAACCTGCTTTAGGATTCACTCCCTCTCTCTCTGCCCCTCCCTTGCTTTCGTGCACACTTGTGAGCTCACACACTCTCTCTCTCTCTCTCAAAAATAAATAAATAAACTTTTAAAAACATAAAAAAAATTAAAAAAACAAATTCACCCATCATATCTAATATAGGTTTAAAAAGAAAGAATTTCAAAGGGCTAGAACAAATAATCCTAAAATTTGTATAGAATCACAAAAGACCTCAAATAGGCAAAGAAATCTTGAGAAAGTAGAACAAAGTCTGAAGTATCACAGTCCCAGATTTCAAGATATACTACAAAGCTAGAGTATCAAAACCATATGATATGGGTACAAAAAAATTATACATAAATCAAGAGAACAGGACACAGGATCAATGAACCACAAAGATAAATGGGAGTGGCACAAAAACTGACACACAGGTCAACACACAACAATTGACCTATATGGTCAATTAATTGACAACAAAGGAGGTAAGAATGTACAATCAGGTAAACATAATCTTTTTTTTTAATGTTTATTTATTTTTGAGGGAGAGAGAGACAGAGTGTGAGTGGTGGAGGGGCAGAGAGAGAGGGAGACAGATTCTGAAGCAGGCTCCAGGCTCTGAGCTGTAAGCACAGAGCCAGATGCAGGGCTCTAACTCACGAGCCATGAGATCATGACCTGAGCTGAAGTCGGAAGCTTAACTGACTGAGCTACCCAGGCACACCAAAACATAATCTTTTTAATAAATAGTACTGAGAAAAGTGGACAGCTATATGCCAAAAAAATGAAACTGCACCGCTTTGAACACCATACACCAAAAAAAACCTCAAAATGGATTAAAGACCTAAATGTGACACCTGAAGCCATAAAATTCCTAAAAGAAAACATTAAGCAGTAATCTCTTAGAAATTCCCCCTTAGCAATGTGTTTATGAATCTATCTCTTCAGGCAAGGGAAACAAAAGCAAAAATAAATAAATGGGACTACACCAAAATAAAAAGCTTTTACACAGCAAAAGAAACTATCAACAACAAAAAAAGGCAACCTAGTGAAAGGGAGAAGATACTTACAAATGATGTATCCATAAGGTGTTAATATCCACCATATATAAACAACTTACACACCTCTACAGTAAAAAGATAATACTATTTAAAAATGGGCAAAGGACCTGAATAGGCATTTTTCCAACCAAGACATACATCTGGCCAACAGGCACATAAAAGATGCTCAACATCACTAATCATCAGGGAAATGCAAATCAAAACCACAATAAGATACCACCTAACACTAATCAGAATGGCTAGTATCAAAAAGAGAAGAAATAATACGTGTTGGCAAGGATGTGGAGAAAAGGGAATGCTTGTGCTGTGTGTGGGGACTATTAATTGGAGTAGCTACTGTGGAAAACAGTATGCAGGTTGCTCAAAAAATTAGATGTAGAAATACCATATAATCCAGTAATTCCAATGCTGGGTATTTGCCCAAAGAAAATGAAAACATCAGTTCAGAAAGATACATGCACCCTGTTTATTGCAGCTTATTTACAATAGCTAAGATATGGAAGCAACTTAAGCGTCCATCCATAAATGAATGGATAAAGAAGATGTGATGTATGTGTGTTCATACACACACACACACATATATATATATATACAACAGAGTATTACTCAACTATAAAAAAGAATGAGATCTTTTTTTTATTTTTTTAAGTAATCTCAACACCCAATGTGGGGCTCAAACTCACAAGTCTGAGATCAAGAGTGGTACACTCTACTGACTGAGCCAGACAGGCACCCAAAAATAATGAGATCTTAATATTTGTGAGAACACAAATGGACCTAGAAGGTATCATGCTAAGTGAAATAAGTAAAAAAAAAAAAAAAAAGACAAGTACCATATGATTTCACTTATACGTGGAATCTAAAAATTACAAAACAAATCAACAAACAAAAAATCAAACAGACTCTTAAAAACAGAGAACAAAATATTGGTTGCTAGAGGGGAGGGAGGAACAAACTGGTAGATGCCAGAGGGGAGGGAAGAGAGTGCATGGGCAAAATAAATAAAGGGATTAAGAGGTACAAACTTCCAGTGATAAAACTAAAAAGTCATAGAGATGAAAACTATAGCATAGGAAATATGGTCAATAATATTCTAATGACATTGTATGGTGACAGAGGATGACTACACTTGCCAAGGTGAACACTGAGTCACGTACAGAATTGTCACATCACTATGTTGTACACCTGAAACTACTATAACATTGTATGTTCAATATACTTCAATTATAAAAAAGAGGCAAATATTACTTTCATATCATATAAAAATGAACGAGAGTATGTTTTCTTCATCATATAAAACATCTAGACTATGTTGTGAAAGTCATAAACCTTAAAGCATCTAGACAAATTCCAATAAATAAAATATGTAGATTTAAAAATTTTTTAATCACTAGTTTTGTACCTAATCTCCAAAGAATGCTAATCCTCCTTTCTTCACACTCCTGAGTTCTTTCCCCTGGGTTGATCTGTCATACCCACACAAAATTCTATCTTCTGCCCCCATCTCTAAAAGCACACTAGTCATTTTTACTTAAATATATTCCTGTCACCTCAAATTCAACATTTCTAAAAGTGAACTACTTCCCAGACCATTTCTTTTTTGGGTCTTTCATATTTCCATCAATGATAACAGTCACTGAACTTCAATTCTTTTTTTCTCCTCCCTTTGTTTCCTTCTACATCCTTTCATGTCTTTTTTTTTTTTTTGAAATGTATTCTATTTTAACTTTCCTTTTCTCACTTTAAATTCAAATTGCTGCAATCCAGCAAGGGCTCTCGTGATATTTACCAGGATTCTTGAATTAAATTTATGAGCTCTCGCTATTTTTACTCAGTCCTCCAATCTATTCTAAAAAATAGTGCTAGATTAATTATTTTGAATTCAAAATATTCCACCTCTTACAAAATCAAGTTTTGTCCTTTTTTTGTGTGTGTGAAATGACATCAGTTTTGTTTTTTTTTTTTAATGTTTTGGTTTTTTTTTTTTTTTTTTTTGAGACAGAGAGAGACAGAGCATGAATGGGGGAGGGTCAGAGAGAGGGAGACACAGAATCTGAAGCAAGACTCCAGACTCTGAGCTGTCAGCACAGAGCCCAACGTGGGGCTCGAACTCATGGACCACGAGATCAATACCTGAGCCAAAGTCGGACGCTTAACTGACTGAGCCACCCAGGCGCCCCAAGTTTTGTCCATTTAAGAAAAGACTTGGGGCACCTGGATGGCTCAGTGGGTTGAGTGTCCAACTCTTGATACTGGCCCAGGTCATGATCTCATGGTTGTGAGATGGAGCCCTGCATCAGGCTCTCTGCTGAGTGTGGAGCCTGCTTGGGATTCTCTCTCTCTCTCTCTCTCTCTCTCTCTGCCCTTCCCTCGCTCTCTCTCAAAATAAATAAACATTTAAATAATTTTTAAAAAGACAAGACTTTAAAACCTAACTCCTGTTTACTTCTCTAATATCACCTCTTTCTACTTCTTTACAAAAAAACTCTACAGGCAAAAGTCTCTGGTCTCTCCTCAGAACTACTTGGGCATCTCTGAGTTTATGTTGTTTCCTAATGTGGAATAAATTAGTTTCTCTCTCCTGCCTAAATTCTGTACATGCTTTAAGGCCAAATTCATGTTCTATTTCCTCCAAGAAAATTTCTCTACCCAACTGGCCTTTGTGTTAATCAACTGGCATTTATTATAAGCCACTTTCTATTCAGTATGGTTTTCAAGTGCCCTCCCATATTTCTGATTAAATAGTAAAAAGTTCTGAAAAGGAGGTACTGCATTATAATCTCAGCATCTGGCAAAATGCCTTTCACAAAGCAGATATTTTTACTAATTATTATACCTGCATATTTCTGAACAAACATTTCACAACACTTGGCATAACTTTTTTACATTATACATAAGCATTTATATCTTGTATTGCTATAAAATTTCAAAATACACACAATAAGGTAGGGTACCACACTTTATGCCTACTATATGTCTTAATATATGTGTTAAATAAAATATTCCTTTTATAATTTTTTACTATATAACAATTCCTCTTTGACTTAAAGCAACTAAGGTAAAAGAAACAAACCTTTAAAAACTTTATTTCTCTCGTTGCAATTTTGTTGACAGATTTTTCTGGTTTCTCATAAAATATCTTAATGGCCACTATCTGCCCAGTATCCTTATGTTTACATTTCATGACTGTTCCATAACTTCCCTCTCCCACTTTTCCGAGAGTTTCATACATCTCCATTTTCAAACCTGGATTCTTCTTCATAAAAATAAAGAAAGAAAATGTTAAGCATTTGTACTTTTATTTATTCAAGCTGCGCAATGCATTTCCACAATAAACCCGTATTTTAAAATACCTAAACATAAAAAAATATTAATCTTTTCCACAGACTCTTGTTTGTCTTTGGGACTCTGCCACCTGCAGACAGTAGGGTGTCCTTGTGGGGCTCCAGCCTCACCAGAACTTAGAGATCTTCCTGCTGTCTCGGTCATTCCCATGAACACTAAGATTGAAGACTCCTTCACTACATGTCACCCATCAGGAGTGGGGTCCGCACACTTCCTTTCATGCGCCCGTCAGGTATGGGGGTTCCCAAAATACTGCAGTCACCTACAGGTCAGACACCGGACCCAAGAAAACCTCAGCCCCACCCGCTCCTCAAACCAGATACCCGGACCAGTCGCGCCCTTCTTCCCGAAGTCGACCTCATCCAGTCAACCACCGACGTCTCAGCCCATTTTGTAATGCCGCCAGTCAGGTTCCGCGCAGACCCAGCGGGTCAACTAGACACTGACCCTACTTATCTCGCCTGCCCAGCTAAATCCCGGCAGGCCACTACCATGGCAACGATGCAGCTGGCCTCACGCCCCGGGCTCTGCTGCGCAAGACCGGAACATCGGCCCGACCCCCACCCGACCCGGAAGAGCAAATGAGGCGAGGTGAAAGCGCTCAGAGAAAGCTTGCGTAGGGTGGGGTGGGGTGGGAAGTTTATGGATTGAGGCCAACTCACAAGGTTGGTTTTGAGCTGAGAGCGGGAGGACCCCCCATTTTGACAGCACCCAGGGTCTCCACGTTTTCTAAGGAAGGGCCACAGAGGCGCCAGCTTGCCCGACCAGCTCTTAGATGCCTCCGGGCCAACGAACACCTGCCGCTGGTGCTGGGTCCTAAAAGGATACCTGGTGTCATTAAGCGGAGTCATCTTGTAAAACAAGTCTTTCCAAGGAAGTCTTGTGTAATTACAGTTGTCTAAGTTACCTAACGTTAAATTGCGTAGACCTCAGCCATTGACATGCATCCTTAAAACGCAGTTAAGATGGTTCAAGAACGTTTCTCGAACACCTATATGCTTAAAAAATTTTTTTTAATGTTAATTTATTTTTGAAGGAGAGCAAGCGTGAGCAGGGAGAAGGGCAGAGAGAAAGGGAGATAGAGAATCTAAGGCAGGCTCCAGGCTCTGAGCTGTCAGCACAGAGCCTGACGCAGAGCTCAAACTCACGGACTGCGATATCATGACCTGAGCTGAAGTTGGACGCTAAACCGACTGAGCCACCCAAGCGCCCCTTTTGAATTTTTTTTTGAACTCATACTCCTCCTTTTTAAAAACGCCCTCTTGGGGCGCCTGGGTGGCTCAGTCGGTTAAGCGTCCGACTTCGGCTCAGGTCACGATCTCGCGGTCCGTGGGTTCGAGCCCCGCGTCGGGCTCTGGGCTGAGGGCTCAGAGCCTGGAGCCTGCTTCCGATTCTGTGTCTCCCTCTCTCTCTGCCACTCCCCCGTTCATGCTCTGTCTCTCTCTGTCTCAAAAATAAATTTTAAAAAAAAAGTTTAAAAAATTTAAAAACGCCCTCTTTGGGAAAACAAGTAATTCAAAATTGGATAGACATACAAAAATTGCTTGACATATAAGGGACAGCAAGAGAAAAAAAAAGTTATTTAATTGCTTAAGAACTAGGCATTGGGTTCTGCTGGCCTGCCAGCCTCCATAAACTGTCAATTTCCATAGCAGTTATACATTGCTAGATAAATGACATAATAGGGATTTTTTGCAGTTTATCCTCAGCATTTTCCTGCATGTAATCCTACCTATATGTCTTCATCTTTAGCTTTGGGGAGAATTATATATCAGGAAGACAACATTCAGCTTTTGACTTACAGAATCACATGTGTGATGCATAATAGAATCTATCAAGAGTTAGACCTGTCTGCCTTGATCACCAAGGCAGTTATAAAAACAAAAGATAAAATTCACTGTTTCAAGAAAAGGAGGTAGCAAGAAAGTGGGTGCAATTAACCTTTTCTGGTTCCATGGAACTATTGGCAACTTCATGCAATACTTCCATTCTGCTTTGGGCTGAAGAATTAACCCAAAGGGTTATAAAGTGCTGAGAGTCCTGCAGACCTTTATTGGCCCTGAGGCCAGGCATTAAAGTAACTAGAGGGAGGGAAATGGCAGAATCCCCAAGGATCAACACCTCCTGAGCTCCCCGATGGGCGACAATTCAGGCCCATTTGCACCTTACTTGCTGGTGTACAAAACCTGAAACCAGTTATCCAGGTTAGATTTATAACCCGCCGCCCCCCCCAACCCATGTCTGCAAAATTTCTTCTTCACATCTGAGTCATATTTTTAGGCTTTCTTGACAACCAATCACACTTCGAAGTGCTCTCTTGAGATCCCCTCTCCATGTACCCCATCTTAGCCAAATCCGTGGACTTTTACACAGTTTGACACAAACCCTCAAATGAGTGCAGCCCCGTCTTCAGAAAATGTCTATAGAGATTGTGAACAAACTTTTAAAAAATCTGTATACTATACTTTTTTGTTCTCAGAATTTCCTACCCTAGAAACCCCATTGTAATGCATGTGCCAGGGTATTTGGTGGCCTAAATGGAAGCATTTCAAGGGATTTTACGTGGTGTGTGCCTCAGCATTCAATGCTGCACTTATTATAAAAAGCGGAGGTGCTCTCATTGCCCCATGTATCAGATTTGATAAGCAGTTGAACTAACCACAAAGGATTTTAAATCCATGTTATGTTTGACTTTGTTTTAATGAGTTAAGCAAAACGAGCTTTTGCTTAGGCCACAATCGCCGTCCCTGTTCAAACAAACCGAAGAGAAAACTAGTAAAAGTTTCTCCCGGCCCTCAACCCTTTAAATTTAACTACCAGCTCCAGAAATCTGACCGAGCCTCCGATTCAGGCGACACTCCCACGTGATGCGTTCTAATCGCGTCACAGGGACACGTGGTTCTAGATACTTCGTCCCCTCCCCCTCAGGGGTGGATTGTTGACAACGCTGCCGGCAGTCACGTGACCTTACGTCATCCCACCTCCTTTCCCTGAAATCTCTGGCCCCGGATGCGTCTTTCTGTCCCCACCCGGTCCAGTTTAAACTAGTGAAAGGGGGAGAAACATAATCGCGTTTCAGCTTTGGGATCTCATAATCCACAATCTACATATCTATATCAGACAGAACTAATTTATCTATTATATCAGGAAGCCAAAATGGACAGAATCCTGCTAAAAACTACAATAACGAGCTCTCATACGCCCCGTACCCTTTTCCCACACCCCTCACTCCGTGGTACTGGCGGAGGGCGGAGGGATCTGGAGGCGGCGGAGGGAGACGTCATTGCAGGGTTGTTTGTGCAGCCTCGGCAGCGGTGGTGACCCACAGTGATTCGGCCGCCGCGCCGGGGGGTGGGGGGGCTGCGCGGGACTCTTTTCTTTCAGACTGACCGCGGGGCAGCTGGGGAGCATGTCGACTCCGGCGCGGAGGAGGCTCATGAGGGATTTCAAGCGGTAAGGCCCCTCACCTTGGCCTGGGTGACGGCTCCTCCCCGTGGCTGTGGGGCTGCTGGGCGGGGATCCGAGACACCTTCCTCTCCTAACCCTAAGAGGGCCGACTGTGGGCCCAGTGGAACCGACGGAAGCCCATTCCCCGTTCGCACTCCCCATCCTTCCTTCCTCGCTCTTCCTATTGAAGAAATTTTGATATCCCCTCCCCCAAAAGTAAAAAGATGGCTATGGACTATTCTAGGATGCCCCCGCTGCTCACTTGGGTCAGCTGCCGACGTCTGGCCCAAGAGCTCAAGCCTCATTCCCCCCGCCCCTGCACCCTGCGGTGCCTCGTCCCCCAAAAGCGAACCCTTGCAGTCTTTTTCCCTGCTTGTTGGCACCAGTTAGTTTTGCTGGATGGCCCTGCGGTCTTCTCTGAGGGGCAGGGTTGGGACGAAAATTGCCCCCCCCCCTTCTTTCTGCAGTGAGGGTGGGGTCTGCAGCGCGAGGTCCGGAGGTTAGTAACCCATCCTCCGAAACCCGACTCCCCCTCGCCCGCCCGAAAGGACCTTGAGAACTGGCTTAGAGACCTGGGACTCGGGCTGGCAGCCCGGGCTGCCAGTGCCTTCTGGAACTCAGCTCTGTGGCTTGGCGTATAAAGCCCTATCTATAGCCTCCAAAGTCTGGAAAAATGCCTTCCTTGAGACTGGCGCTAACCTGATACTCCCTGAGCCTCCTTCTGTAAAATAGGGTTTTGTTAAGAGGTGTTGGGGTTAGTGAGGAAGAAGTGCCTTTTTCTCAGTTGTTTACCTTTGATACTCGGAGGTACGGGGGAAAAAAACGGAAAACTGCACTAGATCCACTGCATATTTTTAAGTGATTTTCTGGGGAGACCTGCCCTGGTTGAGACAAAATATCCCGTAGCTGCTCAGGAAGTAACCTTTCAATTTCGCCATTAGAAAGCCATAGGTGAGGCATTTGGAAGCCATTGTTTTGAGCTTTGGATAGTTTATCATTGAATATATTCTAATTTAGCCGTTTACCTTTGGTGGACATGAAGCAGCATAATTCCTTTAAGGGTTCTGGTCATCGTGGCTTAATCAGATTGACTGAAAAGAACTATTTTTATGTAGACTAATTTGAAAGTATGTTACCTGACAATCACTACAGATTTATGTCTGTATATAAAATGTCTCCCTTATTTTTTTATTGAAATGACAGTCTGTACAAGGAGGTGCTCTGTTTGGTGCAAAAGTTGTCTTCTGAAACTTAAAACCAAATTTCACGTTCCGGTGATTGAAACCCAAATAATAAAAGTTCAGCTCCTTTCCATTGTTACTCTGGTTTCTTACTGCACTTTTCTGTTTAATTCTGAGTTGAACACATGGCACCTTTGGTAGTTTTCCAAGGGCTTCATGTTACAAGAATTTGATTATGACATGCTGGAAGGTAGCTTTGTATTGAGTCTCTTGATAATGAGAGAGAGATTTAGCTATATTGCAGGTCTTTAAAATAGGGATTGATGAAAAAATCTATTTGAAGCTTGATTTCTTTTTTCTTTTAATTTTTTTTTAACGTTTATTTATTTTTGAGACAGAGAGAGACAGAGCATGAACAGGGGAGGGGCAGAGAGAGAGGGAGACACAGAATCGGAAGGAGGCTCCAGGCTCTGAGCCATCAGCCCAGAGCCTGACGCGGGGCTCGAACTCACGGACCGTGAGATCGTGACCTGAGCCGAAGTCGGACGCTTAACCGACTGAGCCACCCAAGCGCCCCGAAGCTTGATTTCTTTAAAGGCTGTTGCTAATTGAAACAAATGAGATAAAGCTTCTCTCCTGCCTAACACTAGTTTCCTGATTAAATTGAATATAAATGTTTTCAGCCATTTAGTGTT